ACTCAAATGCTTTTCCAAGCCTTTTTACTTTCTTTTCTTCTCTCATCACACATTAAAGCCCCCATTGTTCATGTATCATTTCAATCTAAATGATTCACTTTTTTCTCACACATTACATTTCAGCATAGCAGTTTAGCGTCAGCTTTTCAGCATAAAGCATTCCCACTAGCAATTTCTTCAGGAATTGCATTCTCTAGTTAATCAAGCAATCTCTCAAAATTTGATATTATTTTAAATGTTTTGTCATAACATATTTCTGAAGTCTATTTTGTTGCTCTTTTGCCCTAAAAACCTAATATTTTAAGTATTTCTCTATGACTTTCAGTATTCATGACATCATATTCTAATACAAACTGCCTGAAATTCTGAGGTCCGCCCCAACCCTGGGTTCTTTTAAATCGAGGTTAAAAATCTTTCTTTTTAACGCAGCCTAACGTGAGATCCTTTAACCGTGCCTTATCATTGCACTTTTAGCTGCAGCCAGTATTTTATCACTTTTATGAATGATCTTTTTTGGTTGTTTTTGTGTTTCCTGTTTTCTAGCTCCGTGCTGGAGCTTTTCTGGTTCGGAACCATTTTTTCAGCCCCCGCTTTGTTCGCACCGCCCAGAGCCCGAGTGGTGCTGTGTCATTGCGTCATGACGTAACCGTTTACGTGCCTGCTTCATAAACAAACAACAACAATGGCCGATTGTATTGAAGCGCTACTTGTTTTTGTTTTGCTCTGTTTGCTTTGTGTACAAACTGGATAAAACGCATGCTTTTTGTTGTTGTTCAGGAGGTTGATCCCGCCCCTGTCCCCAACGTAAGTGTGACGTATGCGGTTCTTGCTTCTAGAGCGAAAAAATGTTGGTGCTTGAAAAGCACCGGTTTTCGGAGCTTAGAGGCGACTCCGCTGCGGTGTGAACAGGAAAAAACTGTGCTTTTCAGGCTCTAGCTCCGAACCGGCCCTGGAACCGCGTTGGTGTGAAAGGGGCATGAGTCTTAAAATGTGCTATAAACTTACCTTGAACCTTAATAAAAAATGCTAAATCAAGATTGGTGGAGAGAAATATGTGACTTTTTTTCTCTAAGCTGGCCATGTCACAGATATAGACTAACAGATATCATGGAAAAACAACAATGATGTTCTAATTTTTGCAAAAAAAACATGTGTATGTTGTGGTGGAAATGTTCCCAGACAATGTATAATCCTATCACTCACAACAGTAAGTGACAAAGTGCTGCATGTGTAGTGAATCATCTCTCTCTTCTTTCTTCAGGGCGGCAAGGGTCGAATCGGTGTTGTCATCTCATCCTTTGTGCATTTCACTGACATATCAGCCAGGTAACCACCACAACGAGTCACAGTTTTCTTGTAATGTTGCTATAAATGTTTGCTCTTAAGTCAGGATCTATCATAAAAGAATGTGCTGACTCATTGTTGTCACAACAACACACAACAGTTTCTGAAGACTCATTCTGTAGAGACCACAAAAAATGTCATTACCCAACCACAGCTCATTTTTTAGCTACTCGGATTTAGGGTCATAGTGTGAGTCAAAGAAAAGTTAAAAAAATTCAAAAGAAAACCACACAATTTAAGCCATGATTCACCCCATATTGAATTGCATGAATCAGCATTGAAACATGTTAGTCACTGTAACAGCTCCTGGCCACAGTGTCAGTTTCATGAAATCTATTCATCGTGAAGAAAACCGATTCAAATTTTCAAACCATTGTCCTTCCCTAATCCTCAAAGTAAAGATACGCAGCAAACGTTAGGAGAGGCTGCCTGGTGTTTTACCGCTGTGTAGATCCTCTCTGCACACAGCAGTCACTGTGGCATTAGCACACATTCACCTTCGATTTAGCCTCGGCTTCCCTTAGTGTTTGAGGAAGACCGGGAAAGTAAGGCAAATGCGAAAGACAGAGGGCAAAATAGAAAGAGGAAAAGATAGGAAAACAATGAGGCAGATTTACAATGGAATAGATTTGTGGGGGTGTGGGGAGGAAAGGGAGAGGCTCGACGAGAGAGAAACAGAGCTGTGGTGAAAAGGCTCCAGAGCCTGTTGGTTTTAGGTCTGACTGAATAGCAGGGCTGTGCACACACTCTGGCCTCTCTCTGTCCTCCTCTCCCCCTCCGTGTTTACTTAAGGCTGGCATTCTCTTCCTCTCTGCTGGAATCCCCTGTCTCTCCGGTTACTTTCACTCTTGTCCATTAAGCATTTGTATATATGTGTGAGTGTGTGTTGCTGTGTGTGTCTGTTTTGTCCTAATTTAAGTTAGGGTTACTACCATTCAAATTATAGAGCAGCAAAGTGTAATCTCTCTCTTGAGTCATAATTACCTAAAGTGCTTAATGTGTCTCACTGTCTCCCTCAAAGTGCTGATCAGGCGTTGGACCGCTTTGCGATGAGGAAATACTACGATGATAAGGTCTCAGCTTTGATGACACCCTCGCAGAAACGGTAAGACCCAAAACTCGAACACGCCCTTCTTCATAGCAGCATGCGTTTACTGTATATGTGTGTAGTTTGACTCGTGCTTTGTTGACAAAACACATTCATGTCACAGACCCACCTGATTCAATACAAATATGCATGTCCCACTGCTGTTAATCTACTTTTTCACTCATTGGGGATCATTGTAATGAGAATGAGACCCCATGGGGAGGTGGTGTAATCCTAACCCTGTGTACCACTTTGAATCTCACAGTGATAGCTCTTATGTAGAACTGGTTTCCCAATTATTTTTAATTCCAGTCCTTCGAAACTGTCTCGTCCCCAAGTTTAAGTGAGGTTCAGCAATAACAACATGGACAGATGAGACCAATTATAATGTCTGGCTAACCTTCTAACTGTCTTACACCAGTGCTGATTTCTTTTCCTTAAAGTACCAAAACATAGATGATACTTTTTGCATTGCTTTGTTTGAAGAATATAAACATGTTTCCTCAAATGTTAAGTGGTGTTTTAAAGGAACTGTATCAATGATCCATTTCTTGCCGAGAGCTAGATGAGAAGATCAATACCCTTCTGATGTTTGTACATTACATATAAAGCTACAGCCAGCAGCCGATTAGCTTAGTTTAGCATAAGGATTTTGAGGGAAATACTAACTGCTAGAATATTAAGCTTCTGCCTAGCTTTGTATTCAACATGAACAGTCTTCATCTTTCATCTAATTTTAAAGCAAATAAGAGTACTTTCGAAAATGTTTAACTATTGTTAAGTCTGAGGAAAACAACCCCAATTATATGATAGTCACATTACATCACATGTCAGATATCTAACACTTTTATCCAAAGCGTTGTACATACACTTTAATCAGTAGACAGTATGCCATCAGAAACAACTTGGGGTTAGATATCTTCCCCAAGGACACTGACATCAAACCACTGACACTCTGATTAGATCATTACATGTATCCCCTGAGTCATAATCTCCAGTTCATGCTTGGAGATAACCTTTTTTGATAAATTGTGACCCACAAATTACAAGCTTGTCTCTGAAAATGTGGACATTTGCCAGTCAGGGATGGTCTTACGAAAATACATAATTAATTTGCATATTGGAAAATACAGTATCCAGTGTTAGTGGAGATTGACCCATACTAGGGATTAAAAGCCTGTATATCTTGGCCCTGTGTTTCAGTAGTTAGGAGCATTCCTGTTGCTTTGTAGTATCATTTTAACAGGAGCAGCTGTCTAAAACATCGGCCTCAGTTAAGTCTAAATGCAGTCTAATATTTGCACTGTTTTGGTAAGCAGATGTGTTTAAAAAAAAAAAGGGGACTTCTTGACACATTTTGAACTGATACTCTTGAATGTTGACCATAGGAATACTGACAATAGTCCTGCACAATATTAACATCCACCTTTCTGCGTCCATGTCAGGTATGTTTGGATCCTCAACAGTCTTCTAAGTGGATCCATGAAGATCAATGCCTCACCCTTGTTCCTGCACTGCGTCATTCTTCACGGGATCCCAAACTTCGACGCCACTGGAGGTTAGACTCATTTTGTTTATCACTACACACAGCTGCTACTCCAAATGAAAATACAGTCGCTGCCACCATGACGGCATAAAAGAACCCAGACACAACCACTTCAGAGCCAGAGCAGTAAACAAGATGGAGACTTATCTGTACTTTATAGTTTTTTCCAACACACATGCATGCTCAGACAGATAGAGGCACTTACATAAACAAGACAGGAGAGAACAATGTGTTTATGGGTTCCCAGTAAACTCATGGGAATTCACATCCATGTTTGCATGCAAATTGCTATTTTCACTATTTTCACTGAAACAACAGAGGTGTTCGTCACATCGTGGACATTAAATCCCTTTCTCACAACAACAGCTTATCACACATGCTGTGGGCAAAACAACACGAGAAGGCACTCTTGATTATCTTACCTATCAGAGGTCTTTAGGCCATAGTATCAGTGCACTTATCTTTTATGTTTTTATTTAATGTATCTTTTTTTCTCTACAGTTTGTCGTCCCTACATGAAGGTTTACCAGGGAATGCAAGCAGTGTATTCATCTGGAATCTAGTAAGTGGCTTACACAGTGGTACAGTAACTTGACAATCGGAAAACATCTAACCAATGTTCTGTTTTATTTACTTTAATGCAGATTATATTCAGAGTCACTGCTTTCTTTAAATATGAGTGATTGCTTCCACACTCTGGCTAACTTTGACTCACTTCTCTGTTGTTTTTCGTTCAGTCACATTGGTCCGGGCCACAGAGACCGTGTATGCATCACCCTGGAGCCCGCCCAGCTTCTAAAAGGAGACATTATGGTACGAATAAAAACCAAAAACAACATGCCTTCTCAGAGTTTCCAACATCAGTTTTAGATTTTTAGTAATCCCAATATTTTGTGTTTTCTTTTGCAGATTAAATGCTATCACAAGAGTGCCGTCACCTCAGAACGTGAAGTCATTTTCCGGATGCAGTTCCACACGGGAGCAGTGCAGGGCTACAACCTGATGTTTGAAAAGGAGGACATGGAGACTGCCAACAAAGGTAGACTCAAGAAAAAATACCCTGAGAGCAGGTCTCAACATGCTGCCGTAGGTCTACGGGGACTTCTCTGCTCCACGCAGCACCTGAAGGGCTCAGTCTGGGTTTCATTTAGACCTCGTGCTTTGAGACCAATAATCTTGCTTTCCAAAACATGTTACGTGTACTGAGAGTATCATACTTGCAGACAACACCATTCATCCTTTCACTTCTGAAAAGCCCCACTAATAGCATTCCTGTGTGCTTACATTCCAGATCCCAGATTTGCAGATTATGGTAAAGTGGAGCTGGTCTTCTCCGAGGGACCAGAGAAAATCCCAGGTAGATTTCTAACCCTTCAAGTTGTTTTTATTAAAAGCGGCTACAGGGAGAGGTATTTGGAAAAGCACACCAAGAACTTTCTCCATTTCTCCCTTCATGTTATCCTTTGCTCTGTACCTCCCCCTCTGCCCCCTGGTGAGAAGGGATGTGGAATGCTGCAGAGGGGAAATGTAGTGGGAAGTGTGTGCTGACAGAGAGGTAAAAAAGCACAGCATGTGCTGCCCCAGAGCCCCACTGGAGTGGAACTATGGTGTGTGGGTCTGTGTATGGGCCCCTCCAAAATATGATGTGGATACGATTTCAATCTACAACATCAGGGGTGAAAGCAAAACCTTGAATGAAACGTGTTTGGAGCTAATTTGTTGTTATTAGCCGATTAATTTCTTATTTTAAAGGTTTACTTCCGAAATTCGCTTTCTTGTCAAGAATTTCATAAAAAGTTGATATATCTCCCACTGTCTTTTCTAAGTTCTAAATGTGATGCTAGAGGCAGTGGACAGATATTTCTGATTAGCATAGAGACTGGAGAACAACCACCAATTTACAAAAACATAATTGTTTCTGTAATCCTTACAAAAACAGAAATGCAAATGTTTTATCACACGATTTCTTGACATCTTAATGTTTTACCTTGTTTTAGTGCTAAAGGCTGATTTTATTATTACCGTAGGAGAGAAGCAGGCTAGCTGTTTCCCTCTTTTTGCCTTAGTCATTAAGCTACACTGACCCACCCCCTTTTAACACACTGACATGTAAAAAGGAATTTAAGTTCTCAACTCACTCTCATCAAGAACGTAAATACGTGTTTTCCCCCAAAATAAATAACTTTTCCTGCTAATCTTTGTACTTGAAAATATAAACAAACAAACTAGAGAATCCTTTTTTTGTGTTAGAAGTCAAGGTTGATATGAAGTGCACAGTTATGATCAGACCATACTAATACCATTTTACTGAGGGCTTATAATATCCAATTATTGCCCAACCCTAAATATTTACACCTTAATGTCCTGTTTAGACACACCCTCTTGTATCCTCCTCGAGCCAAAACAGATGTTACCTTAAAATAATGATGAATAGTATATTGTGCTACTAACTGTCATTACATAGAAAAAATACCTACAGTTTCAAAACTAATGTTATTTTTGGGTCCAGGTGCCGACAGGTGGCAGAATGGGGCGGATGTTATTGTGGACTACAACACAGCAGATCCTCTAATCCGCTGGGACTCCTACCAGAACATCTGTGATGTTGAAGGTACAGTTATTACACCACATATGACTCTACATGACTCACAATACTTTATAACAATGCAGAGGGCTGCCTAATGAATCAGACTCTACCTGACGGAAAATACCATTTGCGCGTTTTATGAATGGAAGAATTATGCATAGAGCGTTATTTAGATGAATGAAGTTCCTTCCCTTTCTTTTTCTCGGTTACTTTTCTAGTATTTAATGTGTTCTCTATGTTACACAAACACAACAGAGTGTGACGGGTCCTGTGCTCCATGTTATTTAGGAGCAGCAGTGTGACTGAATTTACATGCACACACTGTCACCACTAACCTTGTTTATGTTGCAAGCGTTGCTAACCAAAGTTATTACTCATGAGTGAGTCCTAAAACCTAGGCAGGCACTGTGGAAACTATTATTTTATGATGGGAAGGGACGGAAAACTAAAAGTTACCTTTGTGTTGTTTCTTTGTGAAAGATAGGGAGGAGATGTGTTGTATTCAGGGAATGTTGGGTTCAGGGGAAGAGCAATTAGTTCTCAAGAGATTTATTTTTTGTCGTAACATCAAATGAATAGGCAAGCTTTAACCATCCCACGCAAACACACACACAAATACACACTCTCACTAGCGACACACATAGACACACACACACATAGAACCACCCTGCCGGGGCGTCCCGTCCTAGCTGCGGTTGTTGCTCTCCACTCGACCACAGAATTCACAACAACCTCCCGGAATAGAGAGACGTGGTGGTAGCATTAAAATACAGATCCACCCTTTTCCAGTTTCATTGAGTGCTTTTATAAGCTCAGTTCGGCTTGATTTTAAATGAGCTTATTTTTTAATTTTCATTAAAAATACCCCAACACGTCCATATATAATTTTACATGCAACTGTGGGAATGCAATCAAAGAACCAAACACTCAAATTTAAGAAGTCATCAAAGCAAAGAAATGAAAAAAGGAGTGTTTATTTATTTTTCTTTCTTTGATTCCAAAGCATTCATGTGGGATATTTGCAGCCTTTATTTTCTCATGTAAACACGACATCTGAGACGGGAGACTGGGAGCTTTGTTGGAATTCTGCATCTACTTACCATGGCTCAGATTGACTCTGAGAGGCTGTCACTCAGAGGTTGGTCAGGATGGAGGAAGTCTACAAACCGGTTGCCACTGTAGTGCTAAGGTCCTGAAAAGAAAACCTAATTTGCTTTAATGGCTTTTTGTCAATCACCGGTGTGTGTGTGCTTTTCCCCACATGTGAATGAATGGTAAAGTAATAGTGCATTTTAAAAGATAGGTGGTTTTTCTAGGTTTGAGGTAAAAGTAAGCGGTTGTCTTTGTGTAGCTTGGATTACAGCGGCTGACTGGAGAAATGAGCATTTGATAGTAAATAATTAAATGAAAACAGTGTGCTGAAAAGTAATTGGTCATGCACATTTTTCTTTCTGCTTACATGTCGCAGTATATGGCCATGCAAATAGTTTGTGTTTGTCATAGTTTGTGACAATGGAGATGATTTTAATTTAAAAAACTGCATACTTCTGGCATAATTCTCTTAATAATTTCTATAGGGACTACTTATAGTCTATGTCAAAGTAAACAGGAGAGTTATTAGGACAAGATTTGTAGAATATCATCCAATAATACATTTGGCAAGAATTGATTAGAGAGATAATGAACATAGTTTCAATAGAAGTTGGTATCTCTTTTGTCACATTACTGTATGCCAGTGCGTAAAGGCCTATATCTTTTAAACACTCGCAGCTGCAGGCAAACGTTGTTAACAAAAACGACTGGACGGAAATTGTCAATGTAATGAACTTTACCTAGCAACTGACAGTAACCTATAATATAAAAAACTTGTTACATTTTAAACCGCGAAAAGAGAAACCAACAAAGTCTCTAGGGTAACTGAGACACTGTTTCTGCTAATAATTCTTCATGTTGGATATTTTGTAATGTATTTTTCATTGTTCATTCACCTTCATGGTATTGAAGTAGAGGCAGAATATTCAGCGATGGTTATCTCAGAAGTGTCTGCATGACAAGGTACCACTATTTTTACTCATAGTGGAGTTTTCCCTCCAAAAGCTTTCTGTTTGTACAGAATGTCCTGCACAAATTGTTCAAAGGATTTTGAGAAATATATTTCCCAGAGGGCGGTCCTCTACACATCGGAAGTACGGGCAGAATCTTGGGCGGAAGAAAAACAGGGATGATGAAGATCATGATTATGCTTTTGACTCAGGGTTTTGGCATTCAGGAGGTGCGGGATGGTAGTAACTGAGAATGAATGGGAAGGGTTGGGTAATTGCATATCCATACACAAGCAGACCTCCTCCCGCTATACGAAGAAAGGTTCTGGTTTCGCCGCTCACTGCACTGTAATTGGTGGATTATTCAAAGACTGACCTCACCACAACAGCCAGCCTGATGAATGCTACATCTAAATGGTTTGACTGATTTCTTAAACTAAACGCATACTTGGTTAACCATGCATTGGTTTGTTAATGGCAGTGTAAGGTAGTGGTAGTGGTAGGTTAAACAGTTTTAAAACAATTGTCCAACCCCATAATTGAGTTGAGGGAACATCTGTTTCTTGCTCTTATTGTTCACCAGGACGTCAGGCATGCAATTTCATGACACACAATAGTGAGGAAAAAATAACTTGGCTTCTGCTTTTCTGAGCTCCAAGTACAAGGCAAGGATTGCTTTAATTAAAAAGTGTCTTTTTACAGAGTAAAAAAGTCTGGAGCTGCAGGAATGTTGTTTTCTCTCTCTGATCCTTTCTGGGCCGCCATCTCTCATTCTTTCTTTCTTTCCTTTCTTCCCTTTTTCCCCCTCTTTCCCCAGTGGGGTAGTCCCCTTATGCAAGGCAAGAGGTTGGGTTACTGCTTCCCGCGAGCCCGCCTCCACCACTAAACCCCGCCTCACTTGTTTACATTCCTCTGCCCTTATTTGGAGATCTCAAGGTCCCCCCTTGTGTGGAGTGCAAACACTCTCACCTTCTCAGCAGAGAAAGCAGGGGCCAACTTATTCGCATCTCTTCATTTGACCCTGACCATTATCTGCTGGTTAGAAGCCATGTCCGCTCTCGTGTGTCTGCGCCGCCTCTTCTCCTCTGCAAGTTGCGTTTCATCAGAGTCTGGAATTCCGTTGTGTGCTTACCTGGTGGTTGTGGCAAAGGTAAGAGATTTCTCTTCTTGAGACAGATGGTTGGCCATGAGGGGGAGGGAAAAGAAGAGGGAGGCAGGACGATGACAGGTGTGACAGAGGGAGAGAGAGATGGCCAGCATTAAGGGAGAAGGAAAACATCTGTCTGTCTTGCACCTTGCCAAAGGGAATGTTACGAGAGGGATTCGTTGGAAATCTCCCAGCGGAACTGACCTGCATGGAGGCCTGAGCAGAGGTTTGCTCATGGCCGGATGCAGGTTCAACTAGTGTGTTTGTGTGAGCAAGGGGGGGGGGGCAAGCCATACATACAGGAGCGTTTGGAGTGGAGGAGGAAGGGGAGCTTTTATCATGCATGTCTGCTATTCAGATCCTCCAGTCATACTTTGACTGAAAGGCAAGTACTTAAGGCGGTAGATTGAGGGAGAAGCATCGGAGTCATGTTCCTGCTCTCTTTTGTTGAGGAGAGAGTGACAGTGAAGCAGAACGTTTTTTCTTACTTGGCTACGCTACTCACACACAGTTCTGCTCAAACCCTCATTTTGCATAAGTCAGGGCTTAACTTGATTTTTTGTTGTTTTCTTTTGTGATGGATTTGACTCACCCTTTACAAAATGACTGACTTTTTTTATTTTTGTTTTCACTTCTGAGGATTAAGGAGGCTGTTTGGACATATGCTGGGGGTCAAGGGGCAGGCTAGAGGGAGTAGAGTGGCTTAATCACAGCAGGGTGAGGAATGCAGGGGTCAGACTCTGAAGATCCACAGCCGCCGGACTCTTGTAGCGACAAATAAAGGATTTAACATCCATTGTATTACCTGAACATGAGGAACACCTATGTCGACTCCGCCTGCTGCATTCACTAGCAGCTTGGCAGTTCACATTGTGGCCTGGTGGGAGGTATTATGGCATGATGATAGGTTTATCTTTGCTTGAAATAACCACAGATTGTTATTAATGTCTGTTTAACACATTGAGTCACATATTTCTCTGTCAATGTAATAACGTTCTTGGTATTTGTAGTTTGATTATTGCTCTGTTTATAATGTTGTCTTTGTCAGGTGAGGTGTGATTGTAAGTGTTGAGCTTTGTGAGTAACTGATTCTGAATGATGGAGGTTATGGGATGACATGACTGTGCACGTTAGTCTTGTTTGGTTTGTGGTTTTGTGCTGTGTGAGTCTGCTGTCTGTGTGTCTCTGTGTGCTGACATACCAGCTGACCGTATGAAGCGCTGCATCTCTTCTATCTTGCAGCACCACGATCTCAAGGCCTAACCCAGGACAAGGCGGCTAACAAGAGGAGCCCCAGCGGAGGAGAGGCGACACTGGGCAGAGGGGCCCGCACGACCTCCGCCACCTCCAGCCCCGACCACAGCGACCACGCCCTCTCCGTCAGCAGTGACTCGGGCCTGTCTAGCACTTCCCTGTGGGCGGACAGACCCGCACCTGTACCTGCCATCAACACCAACACCAACACCATCACCATCAGGCCTAACCACGGCCCCAGCCAGCAGGAAAAGGTCCAGCTGAAGCGCCTTTTGAGTGGCTTTGGTCTCGAGGATACCTCACTGGAGGAGATGGGGGATCAAGGCCCCAGAGTGGGCATCCAGCAGATAGTCCCGGCGCAGGTGCACATAAACGGAGTCACCAGACCCCGAGAGAGGGAAACGGACATCCTGGATGATGAGGTCATTACAGGTCACGATCTGCACAGTGTGGACAGTTTAGGGACCTTGTCGTCCTCCTGCCACAAGAGCAGCCAGAACTCCCTCCTGTCAGATGGTTTCGGGAGTCCCGGAGGAGAGGAGCAGCAAAACCAAATCCAGCATCATCTCCACCACCACCCTGCACCCCCCCACATGGAGGAGTATGAGAGAGCCTATGCTGAGACTAAAAGGGGATGTTTGAACACCAGGAGCAACACTGTGGTCTCCGCAAATCCCAGCGGGGCTCCAATGCCCAAACAACACGTCTACAGACAGGGGAGTTATTCCACTCAGTCCTGGGTTCGCCAGCAGCAGATGGTCGCTGCACAACAGTTTATCTACATGCCCGAGGATGGAAACGAAACAGAAAGGTACCAAGGGAACAAGCAAGGGAGCAGTTCACCCAAAGCAGGCCTGCCGACGGAAAAACAGGGCCCTACTAGGGACATGGCGACAGATGCTCTGAGAAACACTGAGCCACACAAGGAGCAAGCTACGATGAACAATAACAACAACAACAAACGCGATGAGGAGTTCAAATCTCTAACGATAGACATTGACAACTCCATCGACCAGCTCAACCAACTGATCATGGACCTGGATCCCACATTTATGCCAAAATCGAACAATGCAGGCTCCATAAAGAGGAACGGTGGGACGCCAACAGACGGCTCCGTGTCCAAATGCATGAATGGCATCAATCTCAGGTTCAACGATAATACCACAGCAACCGTGAAAAACACACAGCAGACAGGTAAGACAGTCAGACAGTCTGGGTGTGGTGGTGGTGATGATGATGATGTGGTGTAAGTGTGGTCATGAAAAGAAATGTGTGAAATCAGAGAAGTTGTGAAACATGGCGAAAGTATACGTTATAAATCATTTAGATAACATTACATTACATGTCACTTGTTAGACGCTTTTATATTATAGCAATTTGGGGTGAAGTGTCTTGCCCAGGGACACAACGACATGCTGACTGCAGTGGGACTCGAACTTGCTATCAGCGCATTAATCCACTGCGCCACACGCCTAACAATCTAGAAATGTTCCAAAACAGAGTAGATCCTCTCCAACAGTATCAGCTTTTCTTCTCCGTTCAATACAGAGTTAACTTAACCTCCTCTCCCTCTCCCACCTGGTCTGGTTTAGTGGCAGAAATAGCAGAGTTGTTGCCAGGCTTTCAGATGTTTTCAGTATGAATCTGAGGATAGAGCGCCCGTTCAGACTTGTCTGTTTAGCTATCTGACTGGAGGATCAGTAAGGTACACGAAAAGAAGGAGAGCAGCTGTCATCGGCACCTCTGAACACTGCCGTATCGCAATGTTTGATTTAGAGATCGCATAGGGAAGAATACACATAAATCAAATTCCTTAACCTTTCACTCAGACCGTAACACTGCTTTTTGTTGTGAGCAACATCAGAACACAAATACAGACAGCATTCATTTCATTTGAAGTTGCTTAACGTCACTTATATGCTTTCTGAATTTGAGTACAATGTTCATCACACTTCCATCTAATCAGATTCTTTTGTCAATGATATGTCACTTTAAGTCCTAAATGTAGACTCTAATTGTAAGGTTTGTGGTGCAGGCAGAGGTTATGCAACGTAGTGACTTTTGTATCTACAGAAGGTATCCACAAGATAAATGACTTTTTTTTTTAAAGAAGCAGTGAATAAGCATTATATGATCTTAAAACACTACACAATAATTCACAGCATAGGTTTCTGTACATGTTTGTCTGCTTCTACCAACAAACAAAAACATTTAATAGAATTACCAAATGATTCTCTCTAAAGTGATACAAAGATAAGAATATTTTCGCTATCAGATGTGGCTCCCACTTAAATGTTATCAAGTTTGCTATTACTTTTTTGGTTTAAAAAACAGTGAGGCAGAGAAAAAGCTGTCTAGATTAGCAGAGCATGAATCACACTCCGGCATGTACATGTGGTTTGCATGGGGGCACAAGATGGGGAGGCCTGAGGAATTTCCAAGGGTGGAACAAGTGAGGCCGGAGGCAATGTTGTTCCATTCGAATCCAAAGACATACCTGTCTGTGCGTATCTACACAGTGTCATTCCAAGTAAAAAATGCCAAAGGCAATAACTTTTGCTTATTTGCAAATAATCTGTAGGAAGTAACATATTGTTTTTGATGTTGCCTTCTATCTGTTGCACTGGTGCCAGGATTCATGGCAACTCATTCTTCCGAGCAAATCATCGGCATTTATCATAAATGATATTGATTCATGTTTGACTGTTGAAAGGAAATCTAGCTCTAATGTACTTTTTGGCTTAAATCAGCATCTAGTATAAATCTTACTAGACCAGTCATGCTTTTCCTGCTTTCCAAATTATTTGTATTCTTAAACCTCCAGGAACTTCATTGCTAACAGTATGGCAGTAATATTTAATTACTGTATTTTGATATAACTTGACAGTCAGTATGCATGTAATCAACATACATTTAAGAAGATATTTATCACATAATTTAAAACAAAAACTTTAACAGGAAGGTTTTGGGTCGACTTCAATGAATAACATTCAAACACATTGAGGAGTTATTCACATTAATGCAAAAGTCCTGTTAAGACAAAATTGCATTTCAGACTTCCTGGCTGCTTATTGCTTTGCAATCCTCAGTGGAAATAGCCAAATCTCTGTTGGTAATTTGTCCTCATAATGCCCAACCCAACCAAACTCTTGAGGGTGTATTAGGTTACAGAAATGATGGCAATGAAAGTGAGTCATGTGAGAGAAAGAGCATTTTGCTCCGTCATTCAGATCCATGATTGCCTGCCTCTTTACTTATAAATAATGTGTTGGTCCTGGATGTTTATAATTAAAGAGAGAAATATTGTTTCACTTTGATGGCTGCTTTGAGAAACACTGCCCAGCATGCACACCACTCTCTGTGACATCCATACTCCACACAGACAAAGTGATTAATGATCCCGGCATTAACACTTCTGCATCATTAGCATTCTTCAGGGCTGAGAGGTCGGAGCTCCCTGGGAGGGCTCATTTAACGCCCGGGTGCTGAGTGGCAGTACTCACAACATTGACCCCCGACACACACACACACACACACACACACACACACACACACAATGTTAAGTGTCTGTGAAGTGGAATAAAAAAGGAAGTCGAGTTGGACAGATCACAGTAGGTTGGCAGTTACTAGCATCATTGTGCAACACATTGATGGAAGCAGCATCAAGTGGTTGGTATTAATCAGATTTACTCTTAGTAATAAGCAAAGAAAATGTGAGATCATCATGTCCTCACCAGGTTTGTGGTAGCTGACATAGATGTATAGAGCGAGGACGATGAGCAGAGTGACCAGAGCCGCCCACCAGTTGATGACAAACATAACCACCACGCACAGCACCGCCCCGGCCAGAGACACCCACATGTTGTAGTACTTGAAACTTGGGCGCCACCCTGTGTTAACAGATGGAAATTAAACCAAAAGAGCCATGCTAAAATAGGCAAATATAAACAGATCATCATACAAGGACAAATCTGAACTGAAACAAAGAACGTTTTAGAGCAGACTTCTTCACCATATTGATACAGCCTAAAAACAGACATGTTTGGCAAACAATCCATGTTTGAACCCTTATCCTAACAATGTTTCTGGTCAAGTGCAGCCCTAGAAATATACTTGTTACCAATATAGTTTTACAATACAACATAAAACTACACATATTTTTGGGAATGTTGTCCAAAAGTTCAAGACCAACTAAAGTTTTGTTATCCTCTAAAGGCATGGTAAAAACAGGCATTAAGTTAACTTTCAGTAACAACGACAAACCATTGTCACATTAGGGGACAGAGTAAGATAAGAAATACCTACTTAAATCGAAAATTGAGGCTTAACAGAGTATTTTATTTTCTTCCGAGTACTTGAACTTGTCGTCAACTTAACTTTCAACGCAAGGCTCTACACCCAACGGTGATCAAAGTCGCGCATCATGTGAAAGCAGCTTAAGTATAAGAGTGTATTCAAACTAGCCAAAAAAAAAGTGTAACAAAGGTGTAAGAAGACTCTTTGATCTCGAATGTATTCAAAAAGTTAGAGACCTTTTCAAGTCAACTCTTATGTCATGGCATGCATCTTATATCATCATCATCATCTTAGATCGCATCATCTATCGAGACTGAGTAAATTCAACTTTGGGTTTACCTGGAGAGTTGGCCAGGGAGGCGTGGAAGACAGAGAAGTTAATGAGAGCATACGACGCCAGGAAGAAGTTCGAGATGATGGGAGCGATGATGTTCAACTCCGCTAACAGACAGCAACAGAAAGCTTTGAATGAATATGAACTGTTCATTCTAGTTTTAATCTTTAGCTGCAACAGCAACAGACAGCAGCTTACCAATGAGGATGAAGGCCAGGCCGATGAAGAAGGTCAGGACGTAACCACGGAGAGGCTCGTTGTTTTTCCCATAACCCTTTGCAAACATACCCAGTCCTGGATAAATGTTGTCCTTACATAGCGCCTAGATAACAAAACATTTAGTTAATTATTTAATACATTTGTTAACACAGTTTTTAAGAGAGAGAGGGATATGAAATATGAAACTCTTAGATCGGGCTCATGCTTGGATGGATTGGACTAGGGATGATCATTTAGGCCTCTATCTCTCGAAATCTGGGTTCGACCCAAAAAAAGCTAAATGTATCCAATGATGAGAGAAGGTAAACGCTGTTAAAAGCTAATAACAAAAGCTACCAGTTCAGGGGTTTTTTCCCAGTCCATTTGCTTTTGTCGTTGGCTTTTTTTCGTTTAGCCATTCACAACAAATACCAATAACAACATTACAAATGTAACTCCTTAAGTCACTATATTTTGGTTGCTGATGATACACATCAAATTTAAACAGTCATTGTCGTTAATTCCTCTATTTATGTCTGTGTAAGAAGATGTTTTTTGTTCCTTTGTCTTGTAATAAATCAGATTATGAAGGAGTTTCTGACCTGGAAGACTTTGGGCGCGCTGACCAGCGAGGCCAGAGCCGAGGACAGAGTAGCTGAAAAAATCCCTGCAGAGATCAGAGGACCGAAGCCTGACACCAGACTCATGACCTGTAACACACACACACACACACACACACACACACACACACACACACACCACACACACACACACACACACACACACACACACACACACACACACACACACACACACACACACACACACACACACACACACACACACACACACACACACACACAAACGTGAACGTGACTCATGTAGCATAGTGTATGCTAACATACTGCCAAGTAAGAAGTGATGGGATACTGTTTGTGTCTTATTTATTTCTCTATGATATGCAAAACAAACCACATACTGTAGAGAGCAATGACATCTTAAGGCTCCCTCCATAGAACCAGCTGATTTTGGTGTGTAAAAGAACAGTTTGAGGTCCATAGAAACAACTTTTCCGTTTTCTCAGAAATAGCTTTTTGCTGTACATAGAAGCAACATTTATTTGTGTAGAATCTAATTGCAGTGAGTAGAAACTTGGGTTATGTTTTGTAACCCTAGTTCCACATATACCTGGACTCTATGGGTAATACTCTTGCCAAGCCCAAATAGGTTTCCTGTGATTGGAGAACATAATTTAGGTAGATCAACTGTTGCTGTTTGCCCTGAGAAGAAACAAAGGTTTTCAGCTTGCATCTGCCTCTCTTTCTCTGAATAATTCTCTTGTTTTTGATTTTTCTATGGAAGCATAAATCTAAGAGGGGTCTCAATCAATGAAAAAATTATGATTTAACAATCACTCAATGATTGGAAGGAATGACAACTCAATTTTGACTATGGAGATGAATGTTTGATGTCACCCCTACTAACCTAATATAGTCTGATCTGGAAGTTGTGTGATCTAAATCAGGCTTGATGTAATTAAATGACTGACTGAACAGAAGGACAGAAGGCAGCTCCATTGTGAAACATCAACACCTACCAAGATTATGTGATGTCTGTTAGCATGTGAGAGGACGAGAACCACACACAGATGTTAGATTTATTTGTTTTTCAGTTGGACAGATTTTAGTGAGACACGGCAAAACGTAATAATATAATTAAAGTTAAACCAGAGACAGTGTTTCCGTCTGTAGCAATAGACAATATCTAAAAAATGTCAGGGATATCAGTGTCAGAGAGCTGTGTGTGTTTGTGTGTGTGTGTGTGTGTGTGTGTGTGTGTGTGTGTGTGTGTGTGTGTGTGTGTGTGTGTGTGTGTGTGTGTGTGTGTGTGTGTGAGAGAGTGTAGGTGGATGTTGTCAATGCTCTCATTCAGCTCTAGCTCCAACCAGAAAGAACCTTGTGACTCAAAACAACAGCCACTATTATCACTGCTTCACTGTGGAGAACAGCTCTGCCTTTTACACACACACACACACACACACACACACACACACACACACACACACACACACACACACTTCTACGACGGCACGCAGAATCACGAGCTGCAGTCTGTCACAATTTACACTTTTTCATTTGACAGAGTGTGTTAATGCGCCTAAAGAGTTATAAATGATACATCTGCTTTCCATTATGATCATTGAAGTATATGCCAGGCACCAGACGTAGCAAATCAGTATTGGCTGAAACTAATGTATCCTTTGATAGTCCTAAATACCTTTTTGTATTAATCTCAAATAAATACAATGGTTGTACTTCAGGTAATAAAAGTTGTGTATCTTGAGGCTAAATATTGCAGTGTTGGCAATTGTAGCACCAAAACCAAGTGTGTAAAGTGTGTCTTTATTATGGAAAGACAGTCAAGGTCTCATTATTAAGGTAAATTAAAAGTCTCATCATGGTCTGGAAGGCTGCATAAACAGCAACAAACACAAGATCTAAAGATGAATGGGATCAGATTTTCTACTTCAATGGACTGTCAATGTGTGTTGACGGTCTTATCCTGACACGGCATCTCTGTCAATGTGTAGGCTTCCATAGGAAAACAATGGCTGTGGGTGTTTGGATACACGTCACATCTGCTCATGTGTGTTGGCCTTTATGCAACACAAATTCCTGAGCTGGCCTGTTCAGTATTTTGAATAATAAAACAGTATTGTATCTTATTGGTCATCAGATCTTTAGGGTTGGGGTTGGGGTTAGCGTCCGTTACCTGGAAGTCGTTCATCAGGCCGAACTGACAGCCTCCCTCCTTGCAGATGGAGAAGTCGTAGCCCAGCGTGCAGGCGGCGTCGGTGCAGTTCACCGTGTCGCTCACCGTGTCGTTTTGATCGCCAGTGGCATCCCTGACAATGCAGGAGCCTGGAGGATGAGAAAACCGACACACACTCTAACATAAGCCACAAACAGGGAGATTTAGTAAATCGTGCTTTTGGTTTATTAGGTTATCTTTGTTTCCTTCAAGGTTCAAGGCTTTTATTGTCATGTGCACAGTAGCTACAGTGTAGTTATGACAATGGAAATCTTAGGTCACAGGCTCCTCCAATAGTGCAACACAATAAAACAGATAATAGTGCAAATAAATAAAATAAAATAGAATATAATACAATTGTGCAGAATAGTCTATATACAAGTAATTGGAATATTGATATAAGTTACAAACGGATTAATGTTATGTATGTTCTTTCAAAAGTTCAGGTGTTTAACAGTTTTACGGCCTGTGGGATGAAACTGTCCCCGAGTCTGGTGTTTTTCTGGCTTTGCTGCACTATTGAGTATTATCCCCAAAGAACACGGACCACTCATTGATGTATCACACACCAATTTTATTGTACTTTTCCTTCCTTTTTCATTAAGTTTGATTTTTAAAGTAACAACACAAGATGTGTCGATAACAATTATTTATCAATGTGTACAGCGAGAGTAATATATGTTTCAATATTAATTTTTTTAATAGGACCAACAATGGTGCAAAATAGTCATTGTATACATCTCCTTAATATTTGCCAGATATGTGACTTAAACAGCATTGTCATATAATGTATAATAGCTGTAAAAATATTTATAGAATGCATATCATCACAGTTTTACGTGACACAATTTGTGTAACAAATGAACTGCAAGTTTTAATGATTTTTGGAATAGGAGCTGCCAATGAGTGTTAAATACCTGCAGAGATGGCAACGGCAATGTATGTGATTCCTGTGATGAGAATGGCCAGCAGAGTACCTTTAGGGATCGCCGACTGGGGGTCCTGAGGAAAGAGACATGACCACATTCAAGTTTATTTTTTCTCAATTTAAAATATGGTTTGAGCCTCAAGCTAATGACTATGTGATACATAGCTAAACTAATATTTTTCTCTGACTTCCCCTGGTGAAAGTAATAATTGAAATGTATTTGTAACTTCAACCGTATAACACATTTCATACAACAAGTATGTATAGGCTTAAGTCCTGGAGCAATGTTCCTTCATGTTAAAGAGGCAGAGCAACATAGTGATGAGTTAGTAACCTAAACTGTACTGTCTGAAACTAGGCCTTAAAGTGTTTTTCAAAACGTTGAAAAGGGCAAGTTAAGTACCTGGCTGTAGTGTTTAGACAAGAAAAGTCTAAATAACCCGCGAGAGAAATATGGTGAGCTTTTTCTAGGTGTGACCTTATTCTTGAAATGCAATCTGGCCAAAAACATATACATTATTGAGCCATACAATGACTGATTTCTGAAACGCTATATACAAGAGTGTCCACAGGGCTTGGAACATCAGATGAAGCAGAGATATAGATTTGAGTGTCATCTGCCTATAAATGGATGCCAAGCTGTTGACTAACGCCCTGTCCACACAGCAGCTTTAAAAAAAATCTTCCAACGCTTCCAACGCTTCCAACGCTTCTCTGCCCATTGACTTTGAATGGGGGTGACGTCACTTTGCCTCGCTTTTCGCCGAACTGCATTGTTGGGAAGCAAAGCGAAGATTTACAGGATTTTCAGGATTCAAAAGTTGAGCAATGTTCAACTTTTGAAGCTGAGCTGGAAGCGTCAGCCAATCAAATCCCGTTTATGCAAATCTGACAGTACAAGCGCTAGCCAATCAAACTACGTGTAAGCTTGGAGAGCCAGACCGCAGTTCATTTCCTCATATTCCAAACGAGAAATTACGGGAGCAAATCACCCGGTTCTTTACGATCAGTACTATTTACCGGGATACAAACCGGAGGAACCAGGCATGGAGGGAGGTGGCAGAGACAGTGGGTGAAACTGGTAGGTTTTCGCCTGTTTGGAGAGTTTATATCCAGTTTACTTCGTTTTAACATTGCTATTGCTTTGTATGTCGGGGGCGGGAGATTCATGTGATTGGTTGTTGGTCGCGTTTCTCGCAAAAAATCCCCAAGCTTTCAGACACACCCACCTCCAAGATTTTCAAGATTTTTTCAAAGCTGCTGTGTGGACGGGGCGTAATACAACTAAGTGGCAGCTAGTAAAGAAATGCAAGAGCGGGGCTTAAGACAAAATCTTAGGACACACCACAAGACACATATTTACTTTCTGAACAGTACTATATGCCTATATTATATTATGCAAAATGTAAAACTCACTGTGAGGTCTCCGGAGATGTTGGCTCCAGCCAGGATCCCGGTGGCCGCAGGGAAGAAAATGGCGAACACTGAGAAGAATGTCTCCTCATCTCTAAAGTCTGGACCAAAGTTCTCTAAAAGGATAGCAGCTAAAAGAGAAGAGAACCAACACAGAGGAGAATAGTAAGTATTTTTCAGTAATACATTCTCAAACTGCATAGGTTAGGTCAGGGACACTTGAATAGGCAAAATGTTTGTACAAATCAAAAAAAGTGCAGACTTACAATTGTAGCCAAAGAATCCTTTGGGGTCTTTGCTTTCCATTGACATGAAGCTTCCTATGAAGTAGTTTGCGATGGCTGCCAGAAGGATCACCAGGAGGACGATCTGAGCCTGATAGACAGAGAGAGACAGACACAGATCGGGAGGATGGTATAATCAATGTGATGTTTTTATTTTAACAAATGATCTCATTACTGATCACAACATCTGCTGTTTGTGTTTGCATCTAGGATATAACTTGAGCCAACCACTGATCACTGATCAGGGTCAAGATTGTAACTCTAATTGCCCCTTTTTTTGTAACTGTAGCTGTAAATGACACGTGACAGTAGTAAATTGCAAATAGCAAGTTCTTACAACAAGATGGATGATTGGATTATACCAGATAATGTGGCTACGTTAACATGCTAATGTTTAGCAAGTAGCCTACTGTAAAATGTTCTAGCCTAATAGCATGCCATCGTTCTAAAACTCACTGCTAAACCAAAAGTACAGATGAGGGTAATGGGGAAGGGCATTAGATCTTCAGGTTTTTGGTCATGACCTGAAGATGATAAATAAATAAAGGTATTTCAATTCATCCTGGTGGGACCATGAATATCTAAACCACTCGTTAATGTAATCCAACCACTAGTTGTTTTAATTTGAATACAAACTATTATTTGATTGTCATGGTTAGTTACTTGTACTTTTACTTGTCCTTTATTAGAGATGTGTCTGTTGATTGTGTTTGTTTTTAGTGTCAGGATGTCTTTTTCTCTGCAAACAGAATCTACCTACGGGTACAAATAAATAACCTGAACCTGAACCTGATGGTGGTGGTAGAGGAAGTCAGGGAATTAACAACGTAGTATTCATCCTCTGGAGACCATGAATACTTGTAAATGGTTTCATTTTTGCCATACAACCAATATTGAGCTATTTCAGTCAGACCAAAGGCACATGTTTGAGGCTTTAATATTAACAGTAGGGAGCTATAATTTACTATCAGCGTCATATGTCAGTCTATGAGATGTCCTCTGAGGATGTTCAGTGTTCTGTCCTACCTTGGCTTCCCACTCCATCCCTGCTACAGAGATTCCCAGCAGCAGGATGACAGTCAGAGTCCCGACGATACGAATATCATTTAGCTCATCAGTCATCAAAGCATCGACATCCTGCAACCAACAGCAGGAACAAGATCAATATGAGGATCTATGCAAAACAATCTGACACAATTCAAATGGTTATACCAAGTTATTTCTTACGTTAAGCATCTCAACGACTGTCTCTGCAAAGCCTACGACGTACATGGCCACAGCCACTGCATTGGCAAAAGCAAAGATGAGACCGATGGACCCTCCGAACTCCGGTCCCAGACTCCTGGAGATCAGGTAGTACGCTCCGCCTGCACAGCAGTGACTCAGGTATTAGTCATTGTTTCCTTATGGGGTACCGTACATTTGAAAATTACCTTTTATTCTCAGGGACATTCTAGCGTTGATGGTGGTTGCCAACCCAGAAGTCTTTAGGTTGAATATTGCGAGTAAAATCACCACTTCAGTTCTCTTACAACCTCTTGACTAGGGATGGGTATCGTTTGAAATTTTTCGATTCCGATTCTGCTTATCGATTCCGGTTCTTATCGATTCCCCGTTTCGATTCCAAAATTGTTAAAGAAAAAGCTCTAATGTTTAGAAATATCTTAATTTTTTCAAGCTTTTAACTGACAACCGGGTCCGGGGTGCTAGTGCTGGCTATTGATGTCATACTCGGGCTCGGAGACCGCAAGCCATAAAAGACTGTACATTCTTTCATCTCGATGCCGTGCTGTCTTCAATGTTTGCTTAAATTATAAGTGCAACCTGACGAACAAGCTATTAGCTTGCCACAGGCATTGCACTGTGCCTTGCCTTTCTCTTTTTGTGTGTAGTGGAGCCACACTTTTGAGCGTTTACCGCAATGCATATTTGGTGTTATGAGGTGACTGAGCCCGAGCCGTGCATGCTGCTGGGTATCTAAACAAATCAAATCACACGCTGCTGTTCCGTTGATGCGTGACGTCGTCATGTTACTACAGGTCCTTACAGATAGCTACGTAGCCTTAGCCTACATCCGTGCAGACATGTAGGCTTTCTTAGCAATACTAAAGGGTTAGTCTACCGCGTTTAGGAACCGTTAAGCAGAACCAAAATTGTGTATTTTGTATGGGTACCCGGTACCCGGCATTTTCTTATCGGTTCTCATCTGGAACCGAGTTTCGGTTCCCAACCCTACTCTTGACTGAGCCATCAATCAACTATAGCTATCAGTATTACTTATATGTTCTTTATCCAGTGGTTTTTACGAAAGAAAAAGGTTTCATATGTCTGAAAGTTGGCTGCTAAATGTTAGGGTTTTTGGCTCTCATAATATGTTGCTTTAAAAATAATCTGTATTTCAGAATAACTGGGTGGCAAACTCCACAATAATCAGATGACATTTTCAAAATAAAAGCATGTAGTTGCTGTCATCACCTCCTCGTACGAAGCCATTGGTTGCTATAGCAGAGGTGGACAGACCGGTGATGGTGGTGACGACACTCGCCATCAGAATGATCGCAATGGTGAGACCTATTAAACATAACAAAACATAAACTAACTAAGAAACACAGTTTGGAAAATTATGAAACAACAGTTTTGATTAATCATATCATTTCCAGAACTGATTATTCAAGCAGGCAAACAGGCCCAACATTCTCTAATGATGAACTTACCATACCCATTAGCCGTTAGCTCAAATTGATAAATCAGCTAATTTCAAGCTTTCACAGAACTTTTATCAATGTAATCCAATGGCTCTCATTATATATTCCTGAACATCAATGTTTAATTCACAATATTAGTTAATTGTTTACTGAGGCTTTTTCTTAATGTAAACATATTCCATGAAAAGTCAAAAAACAATACTGTAGTGCGTCTCTCAATTATTTCTGACTTCCTGTCTGTGGCTCTCAGCTCCATGCCCAATGGTCCCAACTGATGAAGTCACATTTTTAAAAGGGAATAGAAATGTATATTTTATCCAACATTACACAAACAGTGGGAAAATTGTGAAATTGTTAGGGACATTATTCATTCACGGATTAATCCACGTTTGGTTATGAGTATTTGTGGAAGCAGGACAATGTATATGGGACACGGCACAGAGGCACATGATGGTACAACCACAATACTTTTTATTAGACACATTCAGTGTTGGTTTAGGGCCCCGCAGCCACTAAGGGCCCCCTAGCAAAAAGAAAAAGAAAAAGAAAAAAAAAGAATAATCTCAGTACACCGTCGCCGTGATAAGTATGTTTAATTAATGTTGTTAATATGCCTACATTGCCTACTCTCAAAGTAATGTATTATATTATTGAGTCAATAATATAATACATTAACCGTGCCATACCTGAACCTCATCATGACACTAGAGAGGACGGCAGGATTGTAATTTCCTGTGTTCAGTGAATGCAACAGAGGCAAGACACCAGACCAACAGAGAGTTGAATGGAAATAAACATCTGTTTTATTGGCTTACAGGTACCTATCCTGTGAGCTGTGACAATGTTTAAAATAAACTGTCAGTCGGACTCAGAGTTTTGGAAGAAAAAATAGTGGTGGCTCACACAACAACCCCGGAGCCACAACTTGAGCCAGGTGAACAAGGTATGTAAATGTCAATAAACTTCCAAATTATGCGAACATGTAAGCAAAGCATAAATTACAGCTACGTTGAGTTCTTTGAATCGCGGGGGTAAACTAAACCGTTAGCAAGTAGCTATAGCTAGCCAGATATATTAAATAAACAGGTTGTCATACAATCTAAATGTTTAGTTTTTTAGCGTTACCTGGTAATTTCAAAGAAAGTTCTCAAGGAAATGTTGACTTACTGTTCAACATGAAGCTAGAAGCTACCTTACAGTACACAGCTGATCCTGAGTCCTGTCAGTTAAAGTGTTTCATAGTTAGCTTAGCTAAGCATCAACCTAGCACTGAAATATATGGATTTTATGTGACAGTATATCTGAGAAAAAGTCAGCTGAAATGGTGGCATAGTTGCCACTGCTTTACGTGTCGACAGCATGTTTGAACGTATTTGCAGCAGTAAATGTGGCTGTTTGGCCAATGGCCACTGACGTTGCCATAACAACACCTGCATTTAAATATGCAACCTTTTTGTGACAGATTTTTGCATGAAATTATAATTATTATGAATGATATTCCTATTGACAGCTAGTTTCTATGTGAACCATCGGGAGGACCGGGAGGGTGTGTGTGGCGCGAGAGAGAGACCTTACGTGTATTGTTGTTGTTGTTAGCATCTGGTGCTAGCTAACTGCTCTAACGGATATAAGGAGCTGTTTAAATGAAAACAGAGGAGTGACATTTCGCCGAAAACTGCGCCGAGCACTTCACTTTATGCAGGTAGCCAGACAGTGGGACATTGTGGGAAAAGTCAGCACACTCAGCACGGATAGTGCGCGCAACATGATTGCAGCGTCCAGGCAGCTCCCGTTCGAGCATATGCCTTGAGTTGCACATAGCTCCAACGATCCAACACACACACACACACACACACACACACACACTTTGTATTGTATTATTGNCGACAGCAAAAAACTCTTGTTTTATCATAAATGCCACGTAAATCCAGTGCGCACAGCGCATTGCGCAACACTTTATTGCTATCCTCCACGATAACGTCCACCTTTCCATATTTTTGGTTTGGAACATCGACATGTGAGGGAAGGAGGCATTGACGCCTTTCGGGTGACAGTGGTTGCCTGCCAAGGGAAAAACCCTCTCACTCGGGGTGCTTGTGGCTGGAATAGCCAGGTAGCTCCTCGAAAGCGGGGGAAGCGGTGCACGTGTTTTGCCCACCACTCCAGTGGATTATCCATTGTGGGGATATGCGGTGTCCGCTGGCAGTAATCCCGTAGCTCATCATCCGCATCACTGTTGACCCGTGTTTTCTTGCTGTTCGTTTGCCTCTGTTCAGTGCTGACGCCGGTCCGTTGCTCACTGGTGCTAGCATTACTGCTAGTGGTAGCTGTCGGCAGCGGGTGTTTCATCTCCAGATGGTTGCGCATAGCAGATGCATTTGTATTGTACTTCAGTACAGCTGTACACAACTGACAATTCACTGTGGAGTTGGTTACATCTTCGTTGAAGTACTGCCATACATAAGAATGTCGGACGTGTTTTGGAGCATTTTGCAGCGCCTCGTTTACCTCCATTTTTTTCACGACTAGTTGACTAGGGCCTACAGCGCCGACTAGTGGTAAAGGTAGTCGACTAGTCGACTAGTCGATTAGTTGGTGAAACCCCTAGTAAGAACGCACTAGAGTGAGGGGGGCCCCCGAGCCAAAGCTCGCTGAGGGCCCCCAAAAGTCTAGGTCCGGTCCTGGGGTCTATTAATGGGAATAGTTGATAAGAATAGAACATTAACCTGTAAGTATTGTGGCTACCAAATAGTACATCTAATGAGACTTTCTGATCTGTTGGCACTTGAAGGAGAATGACCTCATACTTGGATTCTTCTCAAACATTTAAACTCAATGTACCCACCGATTCCAGCGTGGCCAACAATCCAGGTCATTCGGATGAAAAGCATCACACCCCAGATATTCAGCATGCAGCGGACCTGTAATGCACAAACATGTTAGTCTTCTGTGGGCCAGCCTGTAACCCCAGATGGGAGATGAGTCTACGCTACAACAATTGCTGTTGAAAACATTGATTTGATCAGATAAGATGAAATATCACAGTGAGAAACAGAGGACTACTCCTTTAAATGTTCCTGTTCAGAACACTAACCAGGACTCCTTTGACCCAACCAAACTTGATAGTTCCTCCTTTAGCATTCTTTGCCGCCAACGCCGCCGCTGCCTCCTCAGCTGCTGAAGGCTCCTCTCCATTGGCCAGTCCGTCTTCAAACGGATCCTGACAACCAATCACAGCCAAGGGGAAAAGGGTGACAGAAAAAAAAACAGGAGAGTAATCAATTAGTGGATCATGAAAAAGAAAAATATACCTACATCTGAAGAGGCCCAATTGTGCTTTTTGGGCTTTTCCCTTGAGTTCTATAGGTTTTTGAGTATGTAAATGGTCTGCAAAGGCTAAAATCCCTGTGTTCCCTCCAGAGGGAGTTTCTCTCCCACACACTCCCCCTCCCTGCCTGAAACACCTCGATTGGATTCCTTTGTTTACTTTCGTGACATAGTGACCTCACTAGGTAATACTTGCACTTCTATTGGCTGGCGATCCAACACATTGTACGTGATAGGGGTGGGACATCTCTAAGCGGTTGACAAATCCCAAAAGAAGCGGTTGGCTAACCAATCAGAACAGACTGGGCTCTGGTTTCAGACAGAGGGTGAAAAGAGGTGCTGCAGCACAGGCAGTATGAGAAAAATAAAGAGCTATTTGAACATTAAAGCATGGAGACATGTCACAGTAGAGGCACAACATACAAATATGAGCCTAAAATAATTAGCATATTGGTATCCCCTTAAAAATAAATGCTTTAGTGGATTTTGTACGTCATCCAACCTCCTGCTGTTAGAATACTATCAGTGTACAATGTACGGCTATGTTGCAGCTACCTAGAGGAGTGGGATGCCTACAGGGTCATGAGATGCAGCATTGTGCTTGTGTGCTTGTGTGCTTGTGTGCTTGTGTGTGTGTGTGTGTGTGTGTGTGTGTGTGTGTGTGTGTGTGTGTGTGTGTGTGTGTGTGTGTGCGCGCGCATGTGTGTGTGTGTTTATTTGTTGGGGTCATGCCTCCATGTCACTAAGCCCACTCGGAGTCTCTGAGATGGAGTGCAGGGAATGTTTTCTGTTTTCAGTTTGCATACCTCTAATTACCGCCCATAACTAAACATTAACCTGAGAAAAAATGGAGGAGCTGCATTTGATTTGGTCTTCAAATGAATGAAAGTTTAGTAGAACTTTCTTACTATTAACTATCATTTATATTACAACTGCTACTCTGAAGATTATCATATCAATTAATAATACAGATATTTGTTATGTTTTTAAATCATGTATGATAGGTTAAGATTAGACTATTGATTCCTTGCAGAAATTCACAAGTATACATACTTCAAACATACTATATATATTAGGAATGTGATGATGTGCAGAATGAGTACCTTTACATTTTGAGTACATTTACTACACTATTTGTGTAGGAATTTAATGTAACTTGTTATGCTACGCTGTTGTAGTGCTACTTTTACTTCACAGTTACTTCAGAGTATTCGAGAACTTCACCATCCACTGTTTAAAAGTGCGGTATTGGCAGAGGAGGGAGAAGTATACTCAGATGATCTTGGACTTATAGTAAAAGTAGAAGTACCGGAAAGTAGGCATACTCTGTTACAAGTAAAAGTCCTGCATTCAACAGAATAATACATATGATTTTTTAAATAATTATTGATCATTAAAGTGCTATCAAAGCTGGTAAAGGTGCATCTAGTTTGAATGACTTTGTATACTGCAGGGTAGCTTGTACAAAACTGGAACTAAAGTCTGATTTAAGACTTGATTATATTTCACATCATTAATCCAAATCAGTAAAGTAGGCTAACTAAAGGTATTAAATAAATGTAGAGGCGCACAAGTACATAATTTACCTCTGAATTGTAATGGTGTAGAAGTTCAAAGTATACAATAATTAGAAATACTTAAGTAAAGTAAAGTAAGTATCTATAGGCTATGATGTGTAATGCTATTAGGGGAATGAAAACACATTTTATTTGTACTTTATCGAGTTCATCGTGCAGCTCCGACAGCGACGGTCTGCCCCACTTCTCCCCGAAAGGCGCAGCGGTCTGCCGGTAGAAGTCGATGTTGGGCACGGCGTCTATGGTGTTATGTCCGAAGGTCCTCATGTAGTAGGTGTTGGAGTGGGAGTCGGAGACGTGCGTATGTCCCGTGCCCGTTGAATGGAGGCTGACCGAGTCGCTCCGCACCGTGTCCGGCTCGTGGAAGACATCCGGCGGGAGCCCGATATCCATGGCGCTGCCCAGGGCGCCTGCATCCAGGAAGCCCACCACCCTGAACCGGCCTTTGGACTCCTCGGGCGGCTTGGATGCATCTGTGGAGGCCGGGGCGGCTGCTGCTTCTGTCACCGTGTCCACCTGGAAGCGGCTCTGAGGGGAGCCGCCGCTCTTCAAGGCCGGCTTCTGTCCCGACATGTCCTCCCGGATTAGACGCTCGAAAGAGTCACTTCTAATGAACGGTTACCGTGTCAAAAACACCTGCTCTAAAGCCGAGGGGAGGTCGGGGCAGCAGCTTCGCAGCATGTAGTACCAAACAGTCCCAGCAGACACACACAACCGCAGGCTGGCAGAAGAAGAAATCATTTAAGTGTCCAAAAGAAACATTTACAAACTAAAGTTAAACACAGACTGTCATCACCTCCTCTGCGAACTCTGGGTAATGGAGCGGCCAGGACGTGACGTGCGTAAAGGACACCAACTCTCTCTCTCTTTGACTCAGTGTCTCTCTCCGCCTATCAATCTGTGTCTCTCCCTCTCCATCAGTCTATCTGTCCATCCATCCACGTGTTGACGTGCGTGTCGTCCCTTCAGATGGCGACTCAAACGGTGTATTGTCATCCGTCTTGTTCCCTCTCTCCTCCTCTCTCTGGACTCTCGAGACATCTCAGCATGACGGGTACCCGGCGGAGAGGAGGAGGAGGGGGATGAGGAGGAAGGGGAAGGAATGATGGATCGGTGTCCGTTACGCACCAAACTTTGGCACGCGTCGTGGCGCATCCATTTCGGGAGGAAAAGAGAGGAAGAGACAGAAAGGATGATGAGAGGGGGACATGTGACCTTGCCTCATGTAGTTCAGATCACACTGGAGCGTGGGTCAGGTTATATTAACTGCAAGTGCCCTGACTGACTGCACAACTGACGTGGAAACCAAACAGAATAAATTAAAACAAAAAGTAAAAAAAACATAAAAAATATAAAAACGTCAAATGAATATCTTGAATGTGTGTGTGTGTGTGTGTGTGTGTGTGTGTGTGTGTGTGTGTGTGTGTGTGTGTGTGTGTGTGTGTGTGTGTGTGTGTGTGTGTGTGTGTGTGTGTGTGTGTGTGTGTGTGTGTGTGTGTGTGTGTGTGTGTGTGTGTGTGTGTGTGTGTGTGTGTGTGTGTGTGTGTGTGTGTGTGTGTGTGTGCATCGTTTGCATAGGGAACAACAGCTGCTTTCTCTGACAAAGTGCTTGATGCTGGAGCCAAACACTGGACAATACAAGGACAGAATAAAGGGGACCAGTTCGACCAATTTCACTTTATTAAACTTATCTAAGATTACATTTGTGAGTTATAAGCAACATGTCATCATCATTATGTCACACGTTTGCGGTTCTTTTACTGCAAACATATGTTCCTTAAAGGTCCCATGTCATGGCCATTTCTACTGGTCACAATTCCATTGTTGAGGTCTACTAGAATAGATTTATATTGTGCAATGTTCCAAACTCACATTGGTTTCTAATCTGTATAGTATGTGTATTCACTCTCTGTCCTAAACGGCTTGTTGGAGCTCCTGCCCCCCCGCCCCCCTCCCTGTGAGCCCAGTGTGCGCCGATTGGTCAGCTCGGCCAATTAGTCAACCACCAGAGAGGCTCCGCCCATGTCTAACACAGTCCGATTAATGGTAAAGTTGTCCATAAAAAACTATTATATTCGTAAAGTGTACAGCTAATATATCTATATATATATCAATTAATTTGATATAAAAAAATGACACATTAATTATAGGAGTGTAATACTTTTACAAAAACTATAGTAATAATATGCATTAATTATGACAATGTCATACTATTACTAGGAGTGTTCTATAGTGTGTTCAAAAAGCAACTACAAAAACACTATATATTATACCGTAGTTACTATTTAAAATAATATAGGAATACTACAAAGAACTAGATACATAGTATTACTATTGAAATATTATAGGAGTACTTTAGCTAATAAAATGGCACGGTAGAAAAAAACTATAGTAAGACGATAGCTGGTGAAAAATACTACAGAACACTACAAACTTACTATAGGACACTATACAACTTTTATAGTATACTATAGTAATACTATAGTTCATTTTCGTAAGGGTCGGCTGGCCGGCTACGAAAGTATGTAACTTAACAAATTTTCGACGGATACGCAGCGCCACGTCAAGAATATATTGTTTTACGTATAAAATTAATTTGATACATATATATCAGGGGTTCTCGAAACTTTTTGTTTATGCGGACCACTATTGGTAGTTATCAAGGATTGTTCGGCGCGGGACACCTCATATGCGAAACCGTAAAAATAAGATAAAAGCTTTAGTGTTAAAACGCCGAGATGTTTGTTATAGTTCCCATTATAGACAATCAAAAGAAAAATTTGAAGGCCTATCTGATACTTTTGTGACAGGTGTCTGTCTGCGTTGTTTATGTTCTCAAAGAGGACGGCGGAACGTATGTGAATTAGGTGATCCCAAAGCAATGCCACAAGTGCGCACGCGCGCAGTGCACTCACAAAACGGGGCAGACAGGGTTAACAAAAGAAAAAACTACCGCTATGGCGGGGGGTAGTCCTACTTTAGGTTACGTGTACTGCAAA